AGACTCCCTGGTAGAGTTGATGCAAGCAGTGCAGTAAAAGATGGGATGATCCTGAGTTGCCTTGCAATGCCAACATTCTAACAGAGTTGATGCAAGCAGTACAGTTAAGAATGGGATGATCCTGAGTTGCCGAGCAATGCTAGACTCCCTGGTGGAGTTGATGCAAGCAGTGCAGAAAAATATATATGGTCCTGGGTTGCCTAGCAATGCCAGACTCCCTGATGGAGTTGATGAAAGTAGTTTGATAAACGATGGGATGATCCTGTGTTACCTAGCAATGCTAGACTTCCTGGTGGGGTTGATACAAGCAGTGCAGTTAAGAATGTGATGATCCTGAGTTGCCGAGCAATGCTAGACTCCCTGGTGGAGTTGATGAAAGTAGTTTGATAAAGAATGGGATGATCCTGTGTTACCTAGCAATGCTAGACTTCCTGGCGGGGTTGATGCAAGCAGTGCAGAAAAATATATATGGTCCTGGGTTGCCTAGCAATGCCAGACTCCCTGATGGAGTTGATGCAAGCAGTGCAGTAAAAGATAGGATGGTCCTGTGTTACCTAGCCATGCCGACTCCCTGATGGAGTTGATGCAAGCAGTGCAGTAAAAGATGGGATGGTCATGTGTTACCTAGCAATGCTCAATCCCTGGTGGAGTTGATGAAAATAGTTTGATAAAGGATGGGATTATCCTGTGTTACCTACCAATGCTAGACTCGCTGATGGAGTTGATGCAAGCAGTGCAGTAAAGGATGGAATGGTCCTGTGTTACTTAGCAATGCCAGACTTCCTGGTGGGGTTGATGCAAGCAGTGCAGAAAAATGTGGAATGGTCCTGTGTTACCACCTAGCAATGCCAGACTTCCTGGTGGGGTTGATGCAAGCAGTGCAGTAAAAGATGGGATGGTCATGTGTTACCTAGCAATGCTAGACTCCCTGATGGAGTTGATCCAAACAATGCAGTAAAAGATGGGATGATCCTGAGTTGCCTAGCAATGCCAGACTCTCTGGTTGAGTTGATGCAATCAGTGCAGTTAAGGATGGGATGATTCAGAGTTACCTAGCAATGCTAGACTATTTGACAGTGTTGTTGCAAGCAGTGCAGTAAACGATGGGATGGTCCTGGGTTGCCTAGCAATGCTAGACTCCTTATGGTGTTTATGCAAGCAGTGCAGCAAACAATCAGATAAAATATTTTATGAGATTATCAATAAATCTTGGAGAGATGGCTTGTTGTTGACTCATACAATGACAATTCATAAAGGCATAAATGTATTGTACACAAAATATTCATAAAAGTTGAAATTTTAAATAAAGTTTGAAAACAAAATAAAGATTGTCTTATCATATTGTATGCGTGGAAGTAAACTGAAGAAAACCCGCAATGACACGTACATAGATAGTGTTTCAAATGTCTCCCATTATTTCAATCAGAATGAAGCGTAAATGTTTTATGAATTTTACATTCATGCCTTAATGAAATTCACTGTATAGTGTCATGTAAAATTACCTTTGTGATCTTGTCTATCTTTGTTCCTGCAATAACAATACTTGGGTTGAATTTATGTTGTAAGTCTGTCTTTGTGGATACACAGGCTAGAATTGAATTACTCCAACTGAGAATACTTTCTGAAAT